ATTACTGTTCGCAAATAGTTAAGGATGTGGGATGTTCTAGTTTTAGGGAAATGCGAAGTTTAGCTCAGGATAGGAAAGAGTGGAGGTACGTGTCCAACCAGTCTTAGGACTGATGACCTTATGATGATAGTGATGACATTACCTACCTTTTTCTTCCTGTAATGTTCAGCCATGCGTTTCTGCAAAAACTTGTTTTTTTTCTTGACAATCGTATACTCGTTCTGCAACTTGCGCGCCTCCTCGATGTATCCTTCTCTATCAAAAATTTCTTCTTCCTCCTCCTCTTCCTCTTCCATGGCCTGTTCCTCCTCTTCGGACTCAATTTCTTCCACGACACGTTTCTTTTTGGCCTCGGCTTTTTTTTCTACCACCTCCCTCGCCGGTGGAATCAGGGGGGCTGACACCTTCGACACGTCAAAATCTCCGGTGACCCCTGTGTCATCACTGGGTTGAAATTTAAAGCTGAACCTCCTCGATTGTCTTCTCGCGAAGAAAGATGGACTCCTCGTCTTTTGTTTCTTACGTTCAAATACAACCCTCCTTCTATCTTGTTTCTCTGCCTCTTCTTCCTCACTTTCTTCTGAGCTTTCTTCTTCTTCGCCCTTTTCCCTTTTCTCTTTCTCTTCCTCTTCCTCTTCTTCCTCTTCCTCTTCATATTCCTCCCACTCCTCTTCTTCCTCTTCTTCCTCCTCTTCTTCAGATCCCTCCTCAATATATCTTATTATTCTCCTTCGACGTATCCTTCTCATTACAGGCACATGTTTCCGTTTCTTTATCTCCTCTTCTTCTCCTTCCTCTTCCTCCTCTTCATTTTCTTCTTCCTCTTCCCTCTCTTGCTCTTCATGTTCTTCGTCTTCCTCTCCTTCCTCCTCATCTAGAAGTTACGAATATCCAAAGGCAATAACATGGAAGCAAATAAAACACTTAATATATACTTACCTTTATTCTCTTGTTCTGCTTCCTGTATTGCAGGACGCTAAGAAAATAGTTCAATAAAATGATATTTTCTATACAAAAAATTCTATTACTTTACCGTGCTCTTTATCATGAAATAAGTCAACGATTGATTTTACACAAAACTCCAAAATGTTTGATCAATAAACAATTAGCTACGATGTAGGTACATACGTATGTGAAACGAATCAAAAGTGGAATGCGCAATTTAAACATAAGAAACAGTCTCGAAATATTGGAAATGTATTACGCGAGAGTTATATTTTTAATAAATAATTTATACCTCGGCACTTGGCTGATCATCGTCAAGAGTTAAAACAATGTCGCTCATTTTGTCAACAAATATTTAACATAATACGAAATAATTAGAAAAATAATTATTATGACATGTGTACACAATTGTCAACCAAAATAGTTTTGTGAAAAATGGAAAAGAATGCTACATTGGCTGCTAGAACTCATACATTTTAATTTTATTTATTTAATCCATAAATTAAATATTCAAAGTAAACTGTTCATTTAAAAGAAATGTTTTATGTAACTAATGTGATAAGTTCACATAAATTTGAAAACTGTGTTTATATCCCAGTTCAAAAAC